ATATGGAAGGCATAGCACACACTATGACTTCAGCTCACCGCTTGCACAAAACGACACCAAATACCAACATCTCAAGGCATACTCCATGGGTGGGTTTGGGGAGGTGGGGGGGTGTACGCTGGCCACATACACCCAACCTTCATGGACACTGGCATCCGACACGTGCATTGGCATTCTTCATGGCACATCACCAATCCACTTACAGGACATTTCTGCACTTTAAAGCTATGCCTCTGGCAGCCATTGCAATGCTGATGCAAGAAGACCCTGCGCTCGGGGAGTTGCACTCGGCTCATGAGCTAGACAATAACACTTCTCCAGCCGGTTTGCTTGCTCTCTTAACGCTCATGTACTCTGAACCTACCTGAATGATCCCTTCATTGCTGCCTTATATTGCTATGCCCTGCCTTTTCCATTTTGTCCCTTCAATTAGAAATACCAGGCTCACAATCATGCAGTATTGCTTATTGTTTAGTGCAAACACAAAGCCAGGAAGCTTGTCTGGCAATAATATTGCAGTTTTGTAATGCTTCTGAATAATCCAAAAGGTTCAGTGTTCCAATGCATTGCATGGAGTAATAGGACACAATTTTCCTATCATCATATTGAGTTCCATTCCTCAATATCAAGCTATCAAGCTGTGTCATTGATCAAACTTCAGGCACTTTCAATAAGGGAAGAGGAGGAGCTGGAAGAACGTCTCTCACAGCCAATCTGGCAGAATTCCAAATGATTTCAAGGTAACATTAAGTAAGGCTTGGGTTCAAATCATTTGCCAATCCTTCTAGTCAAGGTATTACGTGTAGCATGGAGTTCTCTAAAGATAGAGTCATAGAGTCATAAAGTCATTCTTCATGGAAACAGACCTGTCAGTCCAACTCGTCCACACCAAACAAGTTTCCCAAACTAAATGAGTCCCACTTGCCTGCATTTGGCCCATATCACTCTAAACCTTTCCTATTCATGTACCTATTCAAATGTCTTCTAAATGTTGTAACGGTACCTACATCTACCACATCCTCTGGCAGAATATTCTATATATGAATGACTCTCTGTGTGAAAATGTTGCCCCTTAGATCCTTTTTAAATTTTTCTCCTCTCACCTTAAAAATATGCCCTCCAGTTTTGAACTTCCCCACCCTAGGGAAAAGACCTTTGCTATTCCCCTTATCTACGCCCCTCAGCATACCTTTCCATCATTAAACAATCAAATATATTGTAGCACAGATTAGGTTTAACAAAAAAAAATCCAGTATTAAACTAAAATTAAAATTACTTAATAAGTTCTTCACATCTGAGAAGGCAGCTTTGAAAAGGCATACTTAAACATTAAGCAGCATGTTAAACAAAACTCTAGAAAATGAAGTGCTAAATATTAATACCACTATTTAAATAAATTAAACATGCATAACAAAGCTTTTGTACGTTTTATACAAAGTCCACATCCCCCGAGTAAGAATATTTTCAAAATTGTGGGAAAGATGCTAGGTCACAATCACTAATATTTCTGTAATATAATCTACTGTTTATGCTTATTCACACATCCTTTAAGTTCTTGTTGCTTTTTTATATCCTGTTTTAACTGGCAAGTCTTGAGACCTTAGTTTTCCTTCAAAGAGAAATGAGCATGTAACATTTTTCTCATAAAAACAATAATTAAGAGACAAAATTAAATTATGAGTTGGCTCACACTGTAGCAATTTAGGTAGTGCATGCTGTTACAGTGCAATTGTTACTGCATGTCTGCTCAAAGCATTCCCTGAAAACTAAACTAATGATGAGGATAGAGACCCCACCTTTATAGAAAAAATGTTTGGCAAATGAAGGAAAAAGATTTGGCATACACTTGGTGTGGTGATGTGATGTCCCATTGTGTTGGGAAAACAATGAAAACAACAAGCAGTCATCTTGTCTCTTCCCTCTCCCCAGTGACAAGTACAGTGCATCTTTAATAATGTGCTGTATAACTTTGATCCTGTACTGTGGGACAGTATGATTAAATATTGACTGCAGTTTAGGACCAAAGCTGAAAACTATTGACCCAAAGATTACAGAAGTGATGACATTGTGTTATGATGCCTGAAGCCAAAGATTTTGAAAGCATTATTCACACTTAAGCTCTCTTCTGCAACCAGCGGGGCAATAGTTTACCAATTACAGCCCAAAAACTGCCATCAATATTTGCTTTATTATACACTTGAGATCAATTTATTTTAAAAACCACAAACATCTTCACCTCTTGTTCTTTGTGATGTCAGTAGCCAACATTCCTTGTTCTACTGCCCATTGACACCACTCATTGGAGACTATTACTATATGATGTCAGTTAACAGACAGCAATGAAAGTTACATTCTCATATATGACAAATCTTCAGTACACGTTTAGCACCTCATTCCATAGGGACAATCACTTCCACTGCTATATAGTCAATGATGATACAAGTGACTGGCACCGCACTGAAAGTAACTTAGATTGCTATGTCATAATTGTCTACCACTAGTCACATGATAACGTATATTGCATCCCGTTACGAGAGAGGTTTCTACTATTCAGACAATTTTTAACTCGATTTTTCCAATGAACTCATTGAACCTGGACACTAGTAAATATAATAAAGTTCATTTGCTTTAATGGGCTGAATTTTACTGGGGATAATTTTTTTTAATGAGCTATCAGCACATACTGTCATTATCCTTCTAAAACTGACCATAACATTGACCACAATATTGGGCAGACACAGTTTAACGTAAATCCTGAAACTACAGTCTGTTATGCATTGCAAACTTTTTGCCCAGAACTAGCAATCACAAAAACCTGCATTAGTGTTATTTTGCCCAATCCTTGAGTCGCAGATGGAAGTACCACCACTGACCAATGATACAGTATTCTATTCTGTCCATTTTTAATTACTATTTTTCACCATTTCCCACTTCTCATGCAGGAATTGACTATAGCCTTAAAAAAGGTTTCAGAGGTAATTGCTCTTTCCAACAAAATTCTTCATTCACGCTCTTCAGGGATAGATGGTTTTTAGTGATCCAGAGCTGAAAGATTAAGTCACAGATCGAGTTACGTGAATTCATTGGAAACCTATAGTGCTATATTGTGGTACTAATGTTGATCAATCCTAGGAATTTTCAAAAATTCATTAACTTAAGCTGTAGGAGCAAACCTATATTAACGAGGGGTATCAGAACCTCTTCAATTTGTGAGGTTAGCTTATGAAATTTAGCAGTTTTTGTCAAAGTTTTTGGATCTTTCAAATAACAACAATGCAAGGGAACTTACTGCTGACTGTGAATTAAGTCTAACTGGGGCATCTACCAAATCGATTTTGGTGAGAATTGCATCCACAGTATTGTCAGTAAGTTATAATATTTTTCAGGAGTTACAAATAATAATGTGGGATTGCAGCAGGGAAAGGCAAAGGACAGGCAGGTAACTTGGCTGCTTTCTATGTACGGGCTACTGTTAGGGGAAAGAAAGGGGTAACTTCCTTTGGGGAGGGGGTGCCCTTAACCCACTTTGAGGATCACACTTACCCTATAACCCTCCCTTCCAGTCTCTCAAATCAGCTTTCCAACCCGTTAGCCCTTTCATTTGAGTCTGCAGGCTAGGACTGTCTAAAACCCTGGGCTTAACTTGAAGTCTGTGTTCCATCACTGTTTCCTCTCAGAGATTGACTGTAGTCCCAGTACTGGCTAGTACCTAAGGCTGGTGCTGCTCACCAATGCGATTGGGAGCAGAAGTCTCACCTCAAAAGCAGTAAGGCTGCTCCCAAAATGAAATGATTGTTGTCCAATGTGTTTTGGGTGGGAGGGCAGGCAACTGACTTTTCAGTCAGAATGGGACTGGATGTACAGCACCTAATAAAATCCACCCTACATTTCAAAGCTCTTTGTTGGCTTTAAAGAACTTTGGGATGTCCAAAGGTAACAAAAGTGCTATATATATGCTGTTTCTTTCTTACTTCTTTTTGATCTATTTATTCTCTCTGGTTCCTTTTATATGACGCAGGTAGCATGCAGACCACTACTCTGCACTTAACAATTTCCGCTTCTCCAAGCAACTTTTATCTTTAAAATAACTAAATTGATCTTGTTTCTTTTAACAATGCCATTCCATTTTTTTTTTATTCTTTTCAACATGCTTTTTATTGAAAAGCAACTTTTAAACTTTTGCCGATTAGAACCGCTACTGATAATATTGCCTTAAGCTTCATTTTATTCCCTCTCATTAAATCTAACAGTAAGAAGAACAAAAAAACTAAAGGATAATGCATAATTTACATTTTAAAAGTTTAGTCAATTAACTAAATAGAAGAAATGTTAGGCATTAGAGATATTAAATCATTTGAACTTCTTAAACTTGCTATCCAGGCAATTGAAAGAATTGGCTGACTATCAATTTCATTAATTTCATGGAAATACAAAAGAAATGAGTTTAACCCATTAGCCAATTTGCAACTCCTGTTATGCTTGGGCAGTTGTCGAAAACGC